AAGCTAAAGTGCATCAGATAGATGCGGCTCTGAAAAACACGTTTCGATGGGACTGGTTGGATAGAAAGCTGACGGTGTCCCCAGTAGGAAACAGTAAAGGGGAACCATTGTGTTTGTGTCGGATTTCGTGAAAAAGCTCGATGTCGCTGGTAAAGCTCTGTGTACAGTGTGTGACGATGTCATTCTATACGGATCGAGAGGATGGAAAGCTTTACAGAGTCACGCAACCTCGGTGAAACACCGAAAACAGACATTTCTACTGGAAAGTAACTACTCGATCTCAAGCGCCTTTCGACAGCCTGTGTAAAAACAAGAGGAGTTGGCTAAAAAGAGAGTGGAAAAAGACGGAGAGGACCAATAAGCTTTTAGCGCTTGCTAAAAAACTTAAAATGAAGAGAAAATAAAGTATTCTACCCCATGAAACTGTATATTGTTGTATAAACTGTAAATAGACATCCACTTTATATAATAAAATACATTCATAACCCATATATAGTAAACCGTGTGGGACTTCACTGTCACTGTATGAGGTAAGAATCAACAGCTTTTTATCACATTTACACAACACTTTATGAATACAAGTAATGAACAAATCTTAAATATGGCAGGGAATGTGTTTCCTTTTTTAGTTTTGATTTTGAGCAGCAAATTTGGAGTTACATATTGGTGCTCACCAGGAATGCATAATCAAAATTGCACAAATTTTCACTGTTCAAGTTTCAAATAGTGTGTAAATTCAATACACTTCATCTTCAGCATGTTTAGTGCCACTTTTGTAAGTAACCACGCCCCCGTCCAGGTCACGCCCACGTCCAGGCCTCGCCCCGTCCAGGCCACGCCCCTTTACGCTTTTTTTCATCACTCGCCATTGCCATCACAGAGTTATGTGTTGGATCGTCTCAGGTGCCTCATTGCACAACCTACACCTTGGGTCTCTTCTGCTGTGGTATATCTGGGCCTCAATGGCTCTGGTGCTCAGAGCCTGCTCCTGAGCAGCCAGGATGAGACCCTCAAACTAGATGAGTTGTTGCAACAGATCCCGGGAACAACATCGCACATCTTAGTCCACTTTTATGGAGCCCCAGACATGACAACCCCCCCTGTATTTATGTTACCAATTTGCTTTTTCAAAATTAGCATCCCACCGTTTACCTTCGTTTCATAGAATTTCTTCAATGCCCCACCTTGGGAGTTCAGTTAAAAGAACCCCAGAGCCATCCAGAGTTAGCACTACATCTCGTCTGACCCAGCCCCCCCCCGCCTTTGCACAGGGGAGAGCGGGTGAGCTCGGGTGAAGAGCGGACAGAATCAATCACCCCGCCCTCTGCCCGCTTGACTGTCAGACAGCTCCCACTTTGCGTTGCAGCTGGCAGCATGAGAGCAGTTCAGGGTTGAGGGGTCCTGTCCAAATTGTCTGGTGCAGCGAGCACTGGGGAAGTAGCAAAACATGGGCAAGGGAGTGATGTTGAGGGTGGGTGTGTGCCTAAGACCAAAGTATTCGGGCCACGTGCGCGCCACCATCGTCCCAAGCCTTGCCAGGCCATCCCGGTACTGGTCGCCGGGAACCATGGCTGGGAAGAGCACCTGGTCATAGGCCACCATTCCACGGGGCCGGGGTCACCGCGGAGGGGGATCGTGCAAGCCCTCTGCACACGCAGGATTCCCAGCCTGGACTACGCGGGTCCCACCTTGTACCCCTCAAAGAAGCACATGCAGTGGGGGTAGCGGGAAGGGCTCGTTGGTGAACTGGAACAGCAGGCCATTTCGGCACTGTGGCCCATATTGCCCCTTTGTCACATTTTTTTCGTATGTGTATGTGTGTGTGTGAAAGCCATTTTTTGTCCTTTAATAAAAAGCAGATACTTAAATTAAATTAAATCATAATTGTTCCTGTCCCCTTTGTCATGAGATCTTCGCACATGATGTCATATGTGAGACTGCACCGCTGCAGTAGTTGGTCGCTATTCCCGCCGTATTATTGTTCAATTAAGGTCGTCTCCAGTGCACAGTTAGCCAAAGACATAGTAGCGATTAATGCAGAAAACTCACGCAACTCATGTCTTATAATTTGATAGGTCTTGTCGACATAATCACAGAGGCCGATGATATTATGACTCCTGCGAGCTCGCTGACATTGCACTGTAGTCAGTGTCACACGAGTCTTATTCTTTTACTCAGCATTGAGTGTCACGTGGAGGGGAATTAGGATCCAGGAGCAGACATGACACAGAAGTTGAAAAGTATCAGTCTTTATCTATGAAAATACAAAGTACAGTATGAATGTTGACACTCTGGTAGAAATCTCGACGTACTGACAACCTGTCACTGAGTAATCTAGGTTTATATACTGGGAGACATCAATCCAATATGACAGACGAGAGATACAAAGCATAAAAGAGCCACAGCAACTGAGTGAAGTTGATCATCTTCGAATATTGATATTGTATTGATTGAGTGTGTCATTGTGCTTAACTGTTTTTGTGGTACAAATGTTAATGATTTACAACTATCACTGGATAATTCGAGGCAGGGGTGTCTTTCGTTTTTTGAGTGATGTGTGAGTGTGTGTGTGTGTGCATGTGTTTGTGTGTGTGTGTGTTGTATATACAGTATATTTGTATTAATTTGGTTATATGCAAAATAATTAAGAGTAAATTATCAATCAGGCCCATTGAGCAAACTCACGATTAGTGAGTTTTTAGAAATGGTATGCAATGTAACCATATTTGTGTTTTGTTCGTTTTTATATGCGTGGACATGCAGTCAGGGGCGGCAAGTGAGGCGGAGCCTCACTGGCACCATCTGGTGGACATTGTTTGCATGTGAAAAGTAAAAAAAAAAAAGTAATTTAAAACTTAAAACGACTATATCAAATCCTGTTCATTTTACTTGTATGGACTGTGCTTTCCATTGATTTTCTTTTTCCACCCAAAATTAAGGGTGCATCATGGATGGGAACAGCGCCCGGCCGGGGGGAGCTGAGGGGCACCATTTCCATGGTAAGGGGTCACCACCGAGAGTGATCTTGAGTGTGCGGCCCACCCGCAGGGTTGTCTGGGGCGGGCTGCGCTCCAACCTGCAGGCGAGCCGGGGAGAGTTCTCTTTTTTCCATGAAGGGTAGGGTGCCCTGGAAAAGGTCCGTCCTGAAAGGGGAGCCCCTTCTCTGGTAAAGCGTCGTGTTCGGTGAGCCTCCACTGACCCTTGAAAATCCGGGGAAGAGTGTTAAAATCAGCCTCTGGCATGTTAGAATAAGACAAGGAAAGTCGGCAGTTCAGAGCCGTAACTGAAGGACATTGGCTATCAGGGCAGGGGTGCGAAGCGGGGCTGGGCTCACACCGTAGTTTGGGTAACTGCTGCCACAGTCGAGTTTTAAGAATGGACAAAGGGGGGTTACTGATCTTTTCACAGAAGGTCATTCAAGGGAAAGAGTATGAAACAGAAATGGCTCAATCTGCTCTTAGCCCTCGGCACCTTCAGTGGCCTTTGGTCCTCAGACCTGAGGCACCGGGGGGGGGTGGGTAGGGATGGAGGAGGCCAGAGAGGTCAGCTGCGGCGAGACCATTTCAAGATTTGAAAACAAAAAGAAGTATCTTAAAAGGGACTCTGAATTGGGGTTATGCGCTCCCTCTTACAGGCTGCAGTTAGGAGGTGAGCAGCAGCATTTTGGTCCAACTGGAAACACTTGAGGGAGGACTGTCTACTCCAAAATGGTGCATTACAGTAATCTACCTGAGATGTAATGAAGGCATAGATTAATGTTGATAAGTGTTACCGAGAAAAGAAAGGTTTTTACCTTAGCCAGTTGCCTCAGATAAAAGAAGCTGGATTTAACAAGAGCACCGATTGGTTGCTCCAATTTAAAATCACTTTCCAATTCAAAACCCAAATTCGAGCATCTTGGCTTGAGACAATATGCTCAGGCAGGGGTCGGGAATTCCGTTTCTTTTAGAGCCATATCCTGCCTGTTTTAAATCCCTCCCTACTCCAACACACCTGATTCAATTGTTAATGATCGTTTGAGGCCTCTCCAGAGCTGATCATTTGAATCAGATGTGTCGGGAGGGATCCAAAACAGGCAGGATATGGCTCTTGAGGAACCAGAGTTCCCTACCCCTGTGCTAGGGGCCCCAGGTTAACAGGGTGGGATGTACAAGGGCCACTGGCAGAAAATATTGCAGTTTATGCTTCATTTTGAATGTTGATTTATCTTTGAACAATAGATAAATTACTGTGTGTTACTTTACCGCAGTTCTACGATTTACTTATGTATATGTATGTTTCATCAATTTTCTGTTGTTGTGAATGCATATATTTGTGTTCATTATTCCCTAAATATTGTTTTCTAACAAATTGTTTATTTGTCTCATAATGAATACATGTTATGTTCATTCAGGCTGTTTGTGTTATCAGTAATAATTACAAACTGCTCCTAAACAAGTCATGATCATTTTATTTATTGTGATGATAGTAGAAAGGATGGAAAGACCACCGTTTCTAAAAAAGGGTGTTTTTCAGGACTACTTAAAAAAAGGGAGAGTAAACTCACTTTTCCAGTTATCACTGCACCACTGAATTTTGGAAATCATTTCGTCTTCCACTTATTGAATGACATTAAAAGAATTTTTGGCCAGGGTTTCCCACAACTACAACACAATTACGATATGTTTGCGCACATAACATTTACAATACAAGTAATAATTCTACTGCAGGATTTACATGTCATCAGGGAATGGTGGATACAGAATCAGCCAAGTCACCTTTCCTACCTGACTCCTTGTGCAAGCACATTCCTTGCACACGCACGCATACGCGCGCACACACACACACACACACACACACACACACACACACACACACACACACACACACACACACGCACACACCAGACATAGCAAAATTAATTTGCTGAGAATGAAATGAATAGTTCTGTTCTGCCGTATGCAATTTATCATTCGGCAAAGGAGGAAAACATCAGTTCCGGAATCCGGCATGCTCACCAAATTTGAACCAAGGGAGAACAACTAGCTTTTATTTTGGAAACAGAACGATCGGTTCCTGTAAAAATGACGCCGGGACACTCAGGCATTAATTGACGCGACTCCGCTGACCGGATTTAAGTGTTTCCATATGGCCGGTTATTCGCTCACAGGATACGTGCATGCATTGCGGTTCTTATTTTGAACAAGACCTGGACGCTAACAGAGACAAAGAAGGAGAAGAGTGTGATACACATGCCAAATGACAGATTTATATGAGGAACCGAGTGGGCAGCGCACACAGAGCGGAGTTTGTTTTAATGTTGTCGTTTGATTAAATGGTCATCGATCATACGTTTTTTGACTTCATAAAAATGCACCTTGTGGAAATTTTGCTTTTACTGGCCTATCTGATGTATAGTAACTTCGCCAGCGACTTAAGTGACAGCGACTACTACGAATATGACGAGCAGATGCACGAGGAAGAGTCTGTAAGTTTGACAAAAACAAAGTACAGTACCTGCATATTTACCCATCATCTGTTGCACGTCCCAAATCTCCGCTCACTTGTGTTATTATTATTATTATTATTGTTATTATTATTTTGCAGAATACACGTGATCTAGTCTTTATTGTTTGGTTCTGTAATACTTTTCATGCAGTAATTGATGGTGGTGTATATCCAATTCATATGACTAATTTTACCTACTATACCAGCATTCAAATGGGAGATATAATTTAATGCACTGGTGCTGAAATTGGAGTCACCTATTGTATTTGATTTTTATTTATTTTTTAATCTTGAAGAATGCCAATGAGTATAGGGTTCAAACTGTTGGATACCTTTGCGTTTTACCAAAAAACAAACAAACAAACAAACAAAAAACTGAGTTTTGTCTTTTGATGCGATTATATAGAAAGTAATTCGTGGAAAAACACAAACATGACAAGTTAATTTGTTTTTTTTTTTTTTTACTTTTAGTGTATAACCTCATTAAAAAATAGACCTCTTCTAGGTTGTATGTGTTTTTACTTTTTAAGTATAATATATATCTTCATGGTATTTGTCATGTTTGTGCCTTAGCTAGTGTACAGACATAAGAAAGTATGCGGTTTCTAACCGTTTATTATTTGTATACAGACAATGAAACTAATATTGTGTGAAATCATAATTCTTCATCTGTCCTACTTCCCAATAAGGGGTGAATACCTATTTAAATAACTCTTCTGTAATGTGACGTCAGTCCAAAAGCTGAATTGAAAGAAGAGAGCAATTACGTTTTTCTAAGTGGAGGGATTAAGAACAAGTGTTTTTAAATTAGCCTGAGAAAAGAGCCAATGAACACTGATGTCACGGAAATCAAGTAAATGATACTAGTTGGAGAGGATTTAACAAAGAAGTCAATCCGGGGCCATTATATGGCAATTATTTGACTTTTTGTTCGCGCCCTGCCCTGAAAGCACTTGATTATTTGAAGGACTTCCAACCGGGCTACCATAAACGCATATTTTTCTTGGTAGAACGCCATTTTTATTAGAAGTACAAAAATGTTTTTGTGGGTTTGTGTTCATCAAACAATAACCGAAGCACATTCTTACTTCTCATTCAACAATTAATTACCTTTTGTTGCCGTTTTTCTAAGTCACTTTGGCACAATTCTCAGATCAAAAGTGAATTTTGCAAATGAGTAAGTGCATTTCTCAAAATAATTTGTACAATCATCAAAATATCATGGCTCCCCTGCAAAAGTCATGTTCCTGAACATGTCAGTGCCATCAGAACAACCTGTGTCATTGTCGACGAATAAGTGGAATTGCCGAGTCAAGTAGTCAATATAACAGTGGACTTTGGAGGGATTTTGTGATGTAAACTGCCGCTTGAGTTCTAAATGATGCAAAATCAGTGTCCTAAACTGAAAGTTACTGTCCACCTTCGTGTATGAAGAAGATTGATTGCGAGATTCACATTGTACTTTTCCTGTTTGCGCTGTCATTTTTTGACAAAGCAGCATAGCACAAAGAAAAAGTTAAAATGTGAACATGGGACAACCTCCTTCGGTAAAGATGTACATGAAACACTGTCGGAATTATAGTTCAGTCTTCTACTTCTTTTGGGGCACAAATTCTCAATAATTATTTTTAGTTGCTCTGTGCTAGGCGGCCTGGTGATCGACTAGTTAATGCGTCGGCCTCACAGTGCAGAGGTGCAGGGTTCAATTCCGGCTCCGGCCCTCCTGTGTAGAGTTTGTATGTTCTCCCTGTGCCGGCGCGGGTTTTCTTCGAGTACTCCCGCATTCCAAAAACATGTGTGGCAGGTTAATGGAACACTCTAAGTTGAGTATGAGCGCGAATGGTTGTTCGTCAATGTGTGCCCTGAGATTGGCTGGCAACCAGTTCGGCGTGTACCCTGCCTACTGTCCGAAGACAGCTGGGATAGACTCCAGCATGCCCCGTGACCCTTGTGAGGATAAAGCGGATCAGAAAATGGATGAATGGATGGATGGTCTGTGCTATTTCAGAAAATGGGTTCATCTTATGCTTGCAGTGTTTCCACAGTTACCTTGAAAAAGTACTGAGTTACAAACCCAATTCCAATGAATTTGTGATGTGTTAAACATAAATAAAAACACAATGCAATAATTTGGAACACATGTTCAAACTATGTTTAATTGAATACACTGCATCGGCAAGAGATTTAGTTTTCAACCTAATAAACTTTTATTGTTTTAACATCTAATCATTAACTTTTTTAAAATTTTATGGCTGCAACATATTCCAAAAAAAGCAGGAACATGGTCATGTTTACCACTGTGTTACATTGCCTTGTCTTTTAACAATATTTCATAAATGTTTGAGGCTTTGAAGGTGGAATTCTCCCCCATTCTTCTTTGTTGTACAGCTTCAGCTGTTCAACAGTCTTGGGTCTCCATTGTCGTATTTTACGCTTCATAATGCGCCATGCATTTTCAATGAGAGACAGGTCTGGAGTGCAGGCAGGCCAGTCTAGTACTCTTTTACAATGCAGCCGCGCTGTTGTATCATGTGCTGAATGTGATTTGGCATCGTCTTGCTGAAATAAACAGGGGTGTCCATGAAAAAGAAGTTGCTTGGGTGGCAGCATATTTCTCTCCAAACCTGTATGTACCTTTCACCATTAAAGGTGCCTTCACAGATGTGTAATTTAGCCACGGTATTGGAACCAACATCGCCCCATACCATCACAGGCGCTTGCTTTTGAACTTTGCGTCCATAACAGTCTGTGTTGTTCTTTTCCACTTTGGCCAAGATGGCACGATGTCCACAATTTCCCAAAACAATTTGAAATGTGGACTCGTCAGACCACAGAACACTTTTCCATTTTTCATCACTCCATCTTAAATGACCTCGGGCCCAGAGAAGCCGGCGGCATCACTGGGTGTTGTTGATACATGTTTTTTTCTTTGCATAGTTTTAAGTTGCACTTATGGATGTCGTGCCCAATTTTATTGACATTGTTTTTCTGAAGTGTTCCTGAGCCCATGTGGTGATATTCTTGACATATTGATGTCAGTTTTTGATGAAGTGCCGACTGAAGGAATCGAAAGTCATGGCCATTCACTGTTGGTATTTGTCCTTGCCATTTTCATGCAGTGACTTCTCGAGATTCTCCGAAGCTTTTGATGATATGTCAATTGTATGTTGAGAAACAATTTAGGGAAGCTCCTTTTTATACCCAATCATGGCACCCACCTGTTCCCAGTTAGCCTGTTCACCTGTATGCTGTTCCAAACAGTTGTTTGATGAGCATTCCTCAACTCGCTTTTCTTACCACATGTCCCAGCTATTTTGGAACGTGTTGCAGCTATAAAATTCTAAGTTAATGATTATTTGCTCAAAACAAATTTATCAGTTTGAACATTAAATATCTTGTCTTTGTTGTGTATTCCATGAAATATTAGTTGAAAATGATTTGCTAATTATTTTATTCTGTTTTTATTTATGTCCCAGCTTTACTGGAATTGGATTTGTACTTTTCTGATTATTTGCTTTGAATAAGCAACATTTTTTAAAAAAGTAACTAAGTTAGATCACAAGATACTTTAAGAGCTACATTCAGCAGATATCCACAACCAGCGTTCCCACTAAGCTGTGCTCAAGAGCAATTGCTCACTTCTCTCACCCTCTCAGTGCACACGGTGGCACTGGCGCGCACACTACATTTCTACACTCATTCGTTCATTTGCACACCAGTTTAATGTCCAAACAGGACATACCATTGCCACTTCCCTGACGGTTTCAGTAGCGTGACATAGGACGCACACTGAGTTGTTCTAATATAATGTAGTTTGAAGCAGTTGACACACATACTCACACTCACGACTGACGAGATGCTGGAAGCAACACTGTGACTGCTCCATTCAGGAATTCCAAACATGCCTTAAATGAGGCTCTTGACCAGACATTTGTGTGTTTTATTCAATGACATGTTTCCGTTATTTATGAGTAGTTAATGTGAGACCATATTTATACAGATTGTATTATACTTAAAATGACCTGTGTTCCAAAATAAAAGTAACAAACTTGGCCCGAGTTTATTCATGTGACATGTCTCTGTTCAAAGGTCTATACAGTAAATATTCCCATCCCCGGAATTCTATGAAAAGGAATATCCTTCACCCGGAACAAAAGCCTGTGCATTAACATTTTGACTACGATATTACATGTTACCGGAACTTATGTAAGCGGAAATTCCACTACCCGTGACCCGGATTGAGACGTCATGCCGCGGGAGCTTAAATACACGCAACGCCCACCCGATGCTACGGAACGACGACACCGAGACACATTTTCATTTCGCGTTTTTCGATCATCAGATTCGAAACGACGACGTGTAAGTGAGCTTTTATTGGCGTGCGTTTTACTGTAATTGTGAATCATTTTGACTTTATTCACTTAACGTCCTGTAGAACGCGGCACTAGCTTAAAAGCAGCACCCACTCGACACGACCGAACAGACTGTTCGCTTCGCCGTTTACATTCATCAGATTCGAAACGAAGACGTGTAAGTGACTTTTTATTGGCGTGCGTTTGACTGCAATTGCGAAAGATTTTAACTTTATTCACTTATGTCGTGTAGATCATGGCATCGAAACGTAGAAGAACTGTAATGACTGGAGCGGAGCGAGTGAAATGCATCCGTTTGAGCAAGGCAGGACACAAAGTTAAAAGCATCCAGCAGACACTTGGAGTCGGAAAGACGCAAATCTACGAAACTTTAAAAAACAAGGCATCGATTCAACTCCTGATGACAAGCCACCATCCAGCGCGGAAGCAATGCAAATGGCAACAAATCCATCAGTATGCACAAGAATTACCAGACATCGGTGATCAACGGGACAGTTACTTGCAACTAGCAACAAAACTGTATGACACGCAGGCAAACATTGTCATAAACCAAAGAATCCATCCAACCAAACAATCCAAAATAGACACACTTTTTTTCCCAAGACAG